AGACATGGGGACATCTCATAATCCAAGGTTAAGACAAAGTTCACTTATTGTCCACTCTTTGTTTATGAGTAGACGAACAAGATACGGTATAGGTGAAATGCGGTAAGCGTTAACTCGAGATGAAATATGACGGAATTGAGACGTTGTTGAATGATGATAACGACAACGTGCCAGTTCTGCGTGCAATGGGTGGTCAGGATCTCTTACAATCCTTTTAGCAAATTTCACATAGAAACTTACATGATACTCTGAAAGCTTTATAACTAACTCATTCACAGTAATAGAAAAGACACGACTAATAATAGTTAGACCGCAGCGGAAGACTTTGAAATCTTGTTTGAGTAAGCCAAAGAATGACTGGGGAACAGCAGAGTAGGATCGGGAAAACATACTGATAAGCAAAGGTAGAAATAAATGACTAGGATGCACGAAACTGCCTGAGCTTTCCTATTCGAAATGATAGGCGCCGCAGTTTGCCAATGCAGTTGTGAATGTGGGTTAACCTATGAAGATTGCTGTCTATGGTGACACCAGATATTTGACAGAGTTCACCCTGGATAAAGAGTTGTAATTAATCATTATGGGGTCTGGCGGATATGGGAAGCGAGTAAAACTATATAGACATTCAACACATTTACTGGGGTTCAGGGTTAGCCCCGATTAGGAGGAGAATGACTGAATTTGACCAAGATTTTAGGTGAAAGAGCTTGGATCAGAGTAAGAAAAAATGGGCTGGCATAGCACGACGTCATCTGCATATTTCAAAATTTGTGCGGGAGAAACACAGGGAATATCACAAATATAAATGGAAAATAGGTATGGGATAGCACAGCTCCTTGAAGAACCCCGGAGTTGTTGACTAAGGGTTTCGATGAAGACGTCCCCAATTTAGTGGTTTGTACCCTATCGGTAAAATAGTTGGATAGCCAAGCTAACAACTGCTTGGGGTATTCAAACGATTCCAGGTTTTGTAACAACTTAAATCTAGGTATGGCATCAAGTACAGAAGAGTAGTCGAGAAAAACACACCGAACAGACTTAACAGAGCTGTTCAAAGGTTTAGTGATACAATGAATAAGGGTGGAGACTGCGTCCAAGGTGGATCTATTAGGCTTGTAAGCAAACTAACGGATCACTGGGAATGTTTATGGACTGCTGAAGGCGTTTGAGGATTACCTTTTCAGTCAACTTAAGAGCTGAAGATGTTAATGCTATGGGCCGAAAATGTTTGGAGAGTATAGAATATTTGGATGCTTTAGGAATTAGTATGAATGTGACTGGCCTCCAACAGTCAATGATAGTAGAAGTTTGAAGAGTTTCATTGACAATGAAGATGAATGTCCCAGCTAGGGAAGCAGCACCAAATTTGAAAGGGGCTGGATGTAAGTCATACGGGCCTGCAGCAGATGACGAATTGCAACTATTTAAAAGTTATAACACATCACAATATGGGCATGGTTCCACACTACAAACATTTGTGACCCCTATCGTCAAATCCCTTGACACATCTCGTATAGCTTCAGTGTTTCTATATAACATGCGATACTCCTAGGAGTAAAAATCTCAAGTGTTACTCAAGTTATACATTGTTTAGCATTAACAAGTGAACTCAGCTCATCAGAAGGGGGTACAAAAACCTGCAGAGGACAATAAACCGTTCATAAATGTACACCCACATAACGATTATTCGTTTATTACCGATGAAACGTAAGTCATAATTACCACGGTCGAGGCTTGATTATTACCGTGGGAAACGGTGTCCTAAAGGGGTCTTTTGCGAGCACTGCTGATTATCCTCGACGTTTTTATGTATCTATATGTCAAAAACAGAGTTTACTTTAAGAGGATAAACGGACCGGTAAGCAAATGCATTTTGACTTATTTCAGGATTTGTGAATGCAAAACAGTAAATCGTTTGTTACACTTGAGATTTTTCTCCTAGAAGTATCACACGTTATACAGAAACACCGAAGTTGTGCGAGATGTGTCAAATGATTTCATGATACGGGCACATCGGTTACACCTTCTCCAATCAACATGTGTTGCAGTATACAAAACACCCACACCTTATTTCTTAACCAACCTTTGCAACATCAACACTTATAGAAAATAATTATTTTTAACAATCGCTGACTTCAAAACATCCCGACACGTTTTGATCTGGTTCGCCTACTGCGGCGTGGCTAAATTTTGTGCGTTGAGGCTAAAGGACTACGGGTTTTGGCTGAGGTATTGCTTGTTTTGGCCAAAGGAATGTAGGTCCAGGCTAAAGGATTGCGGGTTTTGCCTAAAGCTAGATGGGAAATGTTGTATCATCAGTTTGTTAACGCTGTAACATATGTCATGATTACCATGGTCGTGGCTTAATTATTGCGGTTTTTGTTTAAAGTTTCTTGGAAAACGTTGTTCCAATGGGGGTCTTTTGTGAACAATCTTTTTTTATCTTCGACCTTCTAATGTATCCATATCTCAAGAACAGAGTTCACTTTAGGTAGATATACGAAACGGTAAGCAAATGCTTTACGATTTGTTTCAGGACTCGTGAACACAGAAAAATTTATCGCTTGCAACATTAATATCTGTAGA